AAAGCCAAGCTGGACAGGGGTGAATGAGGAGAGGCCTCCCCAGCGGAAAGCCTCACATGGCACCTTCCCCGTAGTCCTGCAGCCGTAAACGTCCCACTCACCTGGGGTAACCCAGACTGACCCCCGGCAGAGATGTCACCATAGGGCTCAAGATGTGCCTCGGTTATCCATTTCTGCATGGCAACACACTCAAAAACTTCAGGACTTAGAAGGAACAATGGAATTAGAAAATCACCATTTGGCAACCGACAGAGCAATCACTGTTTCAGGCAAGGCATCCAGGGATGCCCAAACTAGTGGGCAAAAGCATGAGAGATGGGATCGTTGCCCCATCTCAGAACATCTCCTGCAAGATACCGCATAACTTCAAAGGGCAAAGTAGTAACTGTCAGTGGAGAAACCTCGCAGACACCACCTCAACCGGGTGAGCAGAGTTTACATCACCAAGAATGGGACACATTGACATCGTGTGCCTCTGGACAAGGACCCAAGGTCGCTTTGGTGTTTCTGCCAAAACTCGGGTGGAACTGAGGAACATTCCACAGAATAACTGGATGGTACTCCTTCAAAGTGCCGAGGACATGAAAGACAACGAAAGAGAGTCTAAGGAACAGTCCCATATTAAAGGAGACTAAAGAGACTGACAACTAGAGTCCATCTGTGATTGTGAGCCCTGGGCCAGAAAAGCACCATCAGTGGGACAACTGGTAAACTTTCAAAAGGTCTGCAGATAAAACAATAGTACTGTATTAGTGTTAATTTCCTGATTTTTCTAATTGCACTGAGATTATATAAGAGAATGTCCCTGTTTTTTACAAACACACACTGAAGTATTGAGCAGTAAAAAGAAAAAAAAGTCGTGGCTTAAAACAGCAAGAATTAATCATTTCTCACAATTCTGTGGGTCACCTGAGCAGTTCCTCTACTGTTTGTGGCCAGTCTTGCTCAAGTGGCTGGAAGGTCCCACACATGACTGGCAGTTGGTGTTGAGCGGGCTGGGGCTCCTCGGTGCTCCTCCACGTGGCTTCTCATCCTGAAGCCTGGACCAGCTTACGTAGGGGACAGTCTTGAGCCACACGTAGAGGATGATCGGGAAACTGCAAGGTGTCCTGAGGCCTGGGCTCTGAAGCCCACGTGGAGTCCTTTTTGCCACATTCTACTGGACAAAGCAAGTCCCGAGGCCAGCCCAGATCCACAGGGTGGGGAAACAGACTCCATCTCTTCATGGGAGGAGCACCAAAAAATGTGTGGCTGTATTTAATCTCTCACGTGTGCCCCATCAGGATGCATGGGAACAAATACACCCCTTTGCAGGCCCCTATCTGCCTCTCTCTGATACGAAGGCCTCCTTGTGCAGAGCCACAAGTAGAATTTTTATATCAAAGGAACATAGGAGCAGTCCAGTTGGAAGAGGGTTGTTTTCAAACTGATTGTAAAACAAAGTTTTTCTTTTATTGAGATATATTTACATGCAGAAAAATCCACTTTTTTTCCTCTGAGTTTTGACAAATGCATGCAGTGGTACTACTACCACCACAATCATGCCCCTTATAGCTAACCCCTCCCCACTCCCCTGCTCCTGGCTGCCACAGACCTGTTTTCTGTCCCTATAGTTTTGCCTTTTCCAGAGTGTCATATACATGGAATCATACTACTATGGTTTGAATGCGTCCCCCAAAGTTTGTATGTTGGAAATTTAATCTCCAATGCAACAGTGTTGAGAGGTGGAAACTTTAAGAGGTGGTTAATGTCGTTATCTCAGGAGTGGTTTCATTATTGAGACAGCGGGTTTATTATAAAAGCAAATTCAGCCCCCTCTTGCACTCTCTTGCCTTCCCACCTTCTGCCACGATGACACAGTTAGAAGGCCCTTGCCAGATGCTGGCACCATGCTTTTGGACTTCCCGGCCTCCAGAACCATGAGCCAATAAATTTCTATTCTTTATAAATTACCCAGTCTTGGGTATTCTGTTATAGCAACACAAACAAGCTAAGACATGCATTCTTTGGTGAAATGTTTGCTCATATTTTTGTACATTTTTTGAAAGGGTTCTCTGTTTTGTTATTATTGAGTTTTAAGAATCAGCGAAGTCTAACTTACCAATATTTTCTTCCACAGGTAGGGCTTTTGATGTTGTATCTAAGAAATCTTTGCCTAACCAAAGGTCATAAAGATTTCTCCCGTTTTATTCTATAAGTTTTATAGATTTTGGATGTACATATAGATCTATGATCCTTTTTGAGATTTTTTGGGGGGATATAAAATGTGAGATATGGATTGAAGTTTACTTCTTCTGCATATGGATGTTCAATTGTTCTGGCATCATTTTTTGAAAAATTCATTGCAGAGCAAATTAATCTGGTTGTGTGTTTGTTTGAATGTTTGGAGAGGAATGACAGAAATTATTTCTGGATAGGGCTAAAGTGCCTTCATGCTCCCTCCTTGGCACCAGGCCTTGGATTCCCACCCTACCCACAGGCACGAGGCAGTCACGCTGGTCCTGTCAAAGGGACAGTCATCTATGGACCTTTCCATCTTTGTGTGGTTACTGTTTAACACCTTAAATGAAAATGAGATTATTTTATAACCACTGAGGGTTTGAATGTTACTCCAAACCCTCAGTGTGTGAATGCGACCTTTATTATCAAATATTTAATGAGTGAGAACCACTGATGACCTCTCAGACTCCTTTGATGTAGAGGGGAATGTGGCAAGGTGCTGAAACACGTTTCTGCAGGGCAGGAAGCAGCCTGGCCTACAAGGGTCTTCCTAGCAGAGTGCGGAAATGAGAGGGCAGGATTTGTTCAAGGCCCCCATGCCCAGCCTGGTGGTGTGGGACTCGCTGTCCTGTGCACACAGCTCGTGTCTTGCTCACCATGGTGTAGCCACGGTGGCTCTGCTTGGTCTTTATTCCAGCCATTCTACTTCTGGGATTTGTATCCTGAGGAAATAGCCAAGCAAGTGGGCAAAACATTGTTCCACAGCTTTGTTTAAGACAGCAGAAAACTGCAAACAACTGGAGTGTCCCACGGTTGATTAAATGCACTCCGGGCTCATTTTCAGAGCGGAATGCTATGCAGCTATTTAAGGGGTGATGCAAAGGTCCGTCATGTGCTCAGGAGAGTGCTTGTGGAATACCATAGCCTGAGAAAAATGGGTTACAGGACAGCACATTTGTACAATGGAAATATTAGATGTTTATGTAAGCATATATATTTTGTTGTTGACTTCAACGCCTGAGGAGCCAGTTCTGTCTGTAACCATCCCCTAATACTTGCAGCTGTAGTGTCTGGGTTTGATTTGATTTTTTTTTTTTTTTTTTTTTGAGACAGAGTCTCACTCAGTCACCTGGGCTAGAGTGCTGTGGCATCAGCCTAGCTCACAGCAACCTCAAACTCCTGGGCTTAAACAATTCTCCTGTCTCAGCCTCCCGAGTAGCTGGGACTACAGGCACACGCCACCACACCTGGCTAATTTTTTCTATTTTTAGTTGTTTGGCCAATTTCTTTCTATTTTTAGTAGAGACGGGATCTCGCTCTTGCTCAGGCTGGTCTCGAACTCCTGACCTCAAGTGATCCTCCCACCTTGGCCTCCCAGTGAGCTAGGATTATAGGCATGAGCCACCACGCCCAGCCTGGGTTTGATTTTAGTCACGAGTCCTCCCCTCTTTTCCCACTGGACATTTTGTCAGGTCCACCGCCAAGGAGCCAGCAGCTGAGGGAAGGATGGCCAAGGGGCTGCTGGCAGGGAAGGAGGACCCACAGGAGAAGCAGCGGGTCAGCGTTTGTGGGGCAGGTGTGGTGGGGGCCCTGCCACAGCCGCCTGCCTCCATCCATATGTCTGGCAGTGGGGAGGGCTTCGTTAGCTCCATGCACAGCCCCTGGTTCCCCGATATGACTAAGGGCACTTATCTGCAGATGGCTCCTTGGGAACCAATGGGCTCGAAATTTTTATTAGTCATAGAGCCCTTGGTTAAAATGGAAATTTAAGCTGAAGGCCCCTGGATAAATCAGACCCACATAGAGGTGCTACATAAAAAGAGAAGGTGCCCTGGAGCTCTGTCTATCAGGGACCTTCTTGCCTCCCAAAATGTATACTCGACACCCCTGATTCATCTCAGGAGATGTCAGGCCTGTGAGAATACTGGGGGCCCTGGACAATTATGAGACAGCTGAAATTCCTCTGCCCACATGATCCCTCAAGGGCAGGGAGCCAGGTTGCTACTCTCCCATCCCACACCAGCTCAGGGCCTGGCCCAGCATAAGTGCTTAGGAAATGGCTCTTTCATGTGCTACCTCACATGGGGACACCATCAGGGCTGTGCACAAAGCCCAAAGGAAGTGCATAGAGGTGGACAGATGAATGGATGGATTCAGTTGTGATGTTCAAAGTATTTAATAACTCAGTGGTCCTGGCCATGGCCAACCATTAGTTGCTGAAATAGAAGACGGAATGGGGGTTTTCGCAGAGAGGCTGAGGCAGCATGGGCATTGAGGAAGGCACTCAAGAAGCTTGGGACAGTGGCAGTCTACCACCCAGAGTGGAAATATTTAAAGTTTTAACAACTGACATGGCTGCATTTCATCCATGGATGAATGGGCAGACAGATGGATGGATGAATAGAAAGATAAAAGGATAGAAGAATGGATGGATGGATGGAAAGAAAGATGGATCGAGGGAGGGATGGATAAGATGGATGGATGTAAGGATGGAGAAATGGATGTATAAGAAGGATGGATGGATAATGGATGATGGGTGGATGAATGATGGATGGAAAGATGGAAACAAAATGGATGGATGAATGGTAGACAGCTGGATGAGAGGAAGGGCAGAGGGATGGATGTATGGAAAGGTGGAAGAATGTGCAGGTGAAAGGTAGGAGGATGCATGAACAAGTGGAAAGACAGGATGGATGGAAGGGCATTTGCACAGAGGTTGGGTGGGTGGCAGAGAAAAGCCCATCGGTAAAGGCCTGGCTCTCAGCTCTGGATACCCGCAGGTAGTTTCCTCATCCCCTACCTCATCATGCTCGTCGTGGAGGGGATGCCACTCTTGTACCTGGAACTGGCGGTGGGGCAGCGCATGCGGCAGGGCAGCATCGGCGCCTGGAGGACCATCAGCTCCTACCTCGGCGGTGTCGGTAGGTGGGCCCCCTCCAGTCCTCTCCCACCCCCACACTGTATCCTGGGCAGCCTGGTGGGGTCGGCGGAACCCATCAGCAAAGCTGCTGGATCAAGGGGCAAGCATGAAGCCCGAGAGAGCCATTGCCTGGGGAGGACAAATGGCCCAGGAGGGGATGCCATAGAATGTGGGCTGAGAGGGGCTGGGTCTCTCACATCAGGGCGGTGACACAGGAAGGATGCATGCCTCGGGGAGCTGATGCCACTTTGCCTCTCTTCACTGGACTTCGGCCTGATCATCTGTAAAAGGGAAATAGCTGTAACTCCAAGTCCTAGCTAATGACCATTCTAGGAACTCACACGACTGCGCCCTGCCAATTAACGGCTCTCTTTTAATGTGCCGGGTGCTGGCCTATACGATATGTGTGCATGAGCTCGTTTAATCTTCATCACCCTGAGATTGTGGGTGCCATTGGTATCTCCAGTGTGCGGAAGCTGAGGCACACATGGATAGCAGGAGAGCGCTGCTTCATGTCACGCCATTCCTGAGCTACCTGGAGCCGGTGTCCCCAGGTACATCTGGACATTGTCAACCTGCCCTGCACAACCTCATGATCCACGGCTGCCGCTGCAAGCAGGAGGGACTCTGACCAGCAGTGCTGTGGTCTGTGCTGCTCACCCATCCCTCCTGAAAGCAGGCAGGAAAGCAGAGTGACATTTTAGGAGCAAAGAGGGTGTATGTTTGTTTGTGACTTAGTCCCAGATGCAGAAGAAATGTGTCCAGCAGCCTCACAAATCATCTTTAAGCCCAAACTCCTCCCCATCTTGAATAGCTATTAATTTTTAACATGGAAGTGTGTGGTTTTACAATCTGCCTAAATTAGCAATCACAGAGGACTTCTCAGAGGCAACATTTGCTGTATGATAGGAAAGATAACAGATGCTTGTGCCAATCATGGGGGTGCCGTGCTGGTAAATGTTTAACAACCAGCTCTTGGAGTGGGGCAGAGTAGAGGGAAGCCCCAGATTGTAGCAGTTGCTGACAGCAGTGTTGTAAATACGCCCATCCTGGCCAGTTTCCAACTACTAAGAGATGTCCCGGCGTGTGGGCTTGGGGATTGGCGGAGGCCTACTGGTGCTGGAGGGCTGGTGTAGGCCAGCTCCATTCGTGTAGGCCTAACCCGGTTAGGGGCCACCACAACCCCGCCACTCCTCACACCCCTCCTCACACCCCTGCTCCCTGCCACCTCAGGGCAGGATGGGGTCCAAGTGACTCAACCGCAGGTGAGCCAAGGAGGGAGCAGCTGTCTGTCTAGCATGAGGGTGGCAGTGACAAAGTGCTTCTCCCATGAGCTGTGAATCCTAGTTCTGACACCTACCAGCCAGGTGGTCTGGGGTGAGCTCTGGGCCTCACTCTTCTCCTCTGTGAAATGGAGACGATACTGTTGCAAGGACCAAAGGCACGTGAAGTGCTTACTTAGCACGGTACCTGGCACTTAGATCTGAAAAAACTGTCAGCAGCTTCACGTCCCAGAAGATGAGGAGAGAGGTTGGGGAAAAGAAAGAACCCTTGTGAGGTGTCTGGTCACGTTTACTCACACAGACCTGGTGAAGGGAGGTCTCCCTGACCCCAGGGCAGTCACTACAGGCCTGTCCTTAGATCGCACACTGGCCGGGGCCACCGCCACCTCGCCCAGGTAGGGCCGGAAGGGGCCGCTCCTCAGGGCGGCCCTCTGCTTCCTCGCAGGGGTCGCCAGCGTGATGGTCTCCTTCTTCGTCTCCATGTACTACAACGTCATCAACGCCTGGGCCTTCTGGTACCTCTTCCACTCCTTCCAGGTGAGCAGGCGCTGGAGCAGGAAAGGGAGAGCAAATCAGGGTCACCTGCTGGGGGTGGGGAGGAGGTCAGGGCAACAGCCTCAGGGGAGCCAGCACAGTGTGAGGGGCTGGGGGAGGCAGGCGGAGGGCTTCCCGACCTGCTGCGCCACCCCCTACTCTGTGAGCCAGATTGTGCCAGTATGGGCGTGTGTAAGCGTGTGCGTACACGTTTCTGGAGAGCAGGTCCACACCTTTCATTGCGTTCTCTCTGAAAGATGTGGCCCCCAAAATATTAAGACTCACTGCATAGCGGGCACGGAGATCTGTGGGGAGACTGCAGGGACGGACTCCACCCACCCAGCAGGACGGTACAGACGCCTGGTCCTCCCCGGCCACTCCCCCACTTCCTGCAATGTAACTCCTCCTCCAGGTTTCTGAGTCCAGGCTGAGTCCCCCCTTTTCCCTGCAGACTCCAAAGTTCTCCTAGAAGGACCATTGTCACCCTGTAACACAATAGGGGCTATTCCCAAAGATAAACATTTTAAACCATGCGTTTCTGATTGTAGCCACAACTGACACTTGTAGAAAATGTGGAAGGGGCTGGAAATTGCAGGGAAGGAAGAGAGACCCCAATTCCACACCGAGAGCTGGTGTTGTATCCAGGACAAGAGCTTTCCTCTCCGCTGCCCATGCTCGTTTCCTTCCCGGGCTCCTGCCTCTTCACTCTCAGGGTCCGTCCTTCCCCACTTGCCTTCCAGGAACCTCCTCCCTCCTGGCCCCTTCCCAGCTGGGAAAAGATGAGGAGACAGGAGCTAACCAGGCCAGTGCTTTATCTTTTGTCCCTGAGCCAGGACCTGTCCCCAAGGTCCAAAAGCAAGGCAGGGCTGGCCGTGGACTGTGGACTGACCCCCGTTTGCCTCTGGCGTGCTTGGGTATAACACAGCCCTGATTCTGCGGGGCCCTAAGGAAGGCTTGGGCGAATGACTCCAGCAATCCTGACATGGCATCTACACTCGGAAGGTGCTACATCCACGCCCCTCTCTGGCTTCCCAGTGAGCCCCACCCACGTTGCCCTGTTGCACGCATCCCTGGCAGGAAGGATTCTTCTCCCTTGAGCTTAGCTGCATGGAACTCCCTAGCATTCTATGAAGACTGGCCACAACTCTGCCTCTCCCCAGCCTTCTGGGTAGAAATAGGGTAGCTCCTCTTACTCTAAAGTCTGGGGAGTGTTTCCTCTCTTCTGTTCTGGGCTGTCACACATGGTTGGGCAGGTTGTGTACTGCACAGTGGCATCACCAATTGAGGGCTTCCCATACATATTGTAGGCATTATAGATTTTATACTTATTGAGACAAGTTTTGAAAGATGGAAGCAATGTGTCTTGTCCTAACAAGATCACAGTAATTTGACCATCTCCCAAAGGTGAAAATAAAGTGTCTTAAGAAAGGGGCATCTTTATCTGATCCTCAGAAGTGTGAAGGCCAATAACTCCTGAAAATTACTTGATTATTCATTCATTCCATCCTTCACAAGTCTGTAGACTTCTCCCTTAGTCCCTCCGCTTTGAAGTCACATAAATAAGCGTAGTAATACCGGCTGCAGACGGTCACTTATACTTGCTTTGGGCCAGACATAATCCCCAGCACTTTAAGATGTTCACTGCTGTAAGCATCACAACCACCCCATGAGGCTGGGTGCACCACCTGAGCAGAGGGGAGTTAAGTAGTTTATGGCTGTGGGATTGGACCCTGGCACCTGGCCCTAGAGTCTTGCTCCTGCCCGCCCCACTCCCAGGCCAAGCTTTCCAGCCTCTTGTCGGGCCCTTCCCACCAGGAGCACCTGGGCTGTCACACATGCAGATGCACCTGCTGATTCAGAGGAGGGAGGGACAATGGACTGGGAATTGGTCCATTTAACAAGCTCTTCTGTATTCTAAAGCTTCTTCACCTTGGCAGCACACTGTGGGGAGCTTTAAAAAATCTGATGCCTAGACCCCACCCCAAACACAAAATCAGAGTCCCTGGAGAGGTGCAGCCTGGGTGAGTCTGTTGTGTAGCTGGCATTGGGAACCAGGCCAGGATGGGCTGGCAGAAGCAGATAGTTCAGTGAATGAGCCCAGGTCAGTCTCACACGGGCTGCAAATGGCCCAAGGTGTGTCAGCTGGGGCAGCTCAACTGGGCACAGGTCTATAAGGGCCCCTCTCACCTAACTGGGATTTAGTGCTGGCTGTCACTGGGCACCTAAGTTCTCTCCACATGGCCTCTCTCTCCACACACCCTCATCATTCAGGAGACTATAGCTCACATGTCTGCACAGGACAGCTGGCTTCCAAGAGGATGTGAGGGCAGCTGCAGGGCTCTGGAGACCTGGGCCAGGAAGCCCACAGCATCTCTTCACTGTGTTCTGGTGGTCAGCCGTGTCACAGGCCGGCCCAGACTCACTCCCTCCGGATGGGAGAAACTGCATGTGCACATGGGGAGGGGACGCATTATTGGTGGCCAGCTTTGGACACAACCTGAGTCAAAGCTAGAAACCAGCTGTCACATCTCAACAAGCAAGGGTGGCCCTGGCGCCAGGGGTCTCACCACACGGTGAGGCAGTCCCAGCACTGTGCAGGCATGCTGGCCTGGGCCCCAGATGCTCACTGGTAGAGTGGCCATGACCCATCAGGTAGTGCCACTGGGCCTCGGTGCTGTTTCCTGGGATATGGGATTGAGCACAGTGGCGTGGTCAGACTTGCTTCTGTAGTGGAGCACTTCTGAGCTTGTGGAACCCAGATATGTGCAAAAATGATCAATGTGGGGCTGGTCTTGGCAGAGCAGGGTTGGGGCCTCCATCCCCCAAGTCAGAATTAATTTTCCTCCCCCGCTTCCCCTCGAGCCTAGCACCATTGTTGAGCACTTGCCCTTGGGTCATGTTTGTTGTACATGCACCATAGAGGCTCCTTTGCTCCTATGTGACAGAGAGCCCAGTTCAAAGTAGCTTAAGCAGGTGGGGCCTTACTGGCTTCACCCTGCTAAGTCCAGGGGTCAAATCGCTCCAGGCATCACTTGACTCAAGCTCGGATGGAGTCACCAGCACCAGGTTCTCTGGCTCAGAGGAGCAAGATGGCTTCGGGGAATGAGCCTCGTCTCCTTCCAGCTCCCAAACCCCATGTCCATCAGAGGAAATGCCAGTCTCCACTGCCAGTTACTGAGGGCAGTACCCAAGTCTTAGTCATCCCAGGACTTGCTGGGAACTTGTGGAAATAAACAAAGACCACCCAAATGAGAACAAGCTGAGGCTATGTATTCAGAGCTCGCCATAGCGAGGGGGCCATCACTCGTGCTGGGCAGAGGCTCTGAGGCAGGCAGGGCGGGGGAGGCTCTGCAGTGGAGACGGGGAGGGCTCCAGGTGTGTCCTGCAGGGAGGCTGCTGGCAGGGGAAGCCGGGAGCGGCTCATGAGAAGTGGGACAGCCGATGTGATTGGGTAGGGGGTATATTTGGTTTTCTCTGGTGGTTCCTGAGTTGGCAAAAAATAGGGACTCTATCAGTCATTGACCAGGTCCTGACCATTCGGGGCCAACACTGCAGAGGCTGTGGTTTGAGTTCTCGGGCTGGTTGCTGCAAAAGTTGTCGGTCAAAGTTCTGTTGTCCTATCTGATCTGGCCATTGTCCCCTTGATACTGTCTCTTAGATCCACCACAGAGTTCGATAGTCCACGGCAAGCCCCTGTAGAATTGCAATGAGAGTAGAGCCCCCTCCCTGCCTCCTCTGTGACCCCACAAACTCTCTGACTCCCTGTCTGCCTTCAGGGGCTCCAGCCGCCCGCCCTTTGGGGACCAGAGGCCTTCTCTTGCAAGAGCCCCCTGGCAGGGCCACCCCCGTCACCATCACTCCGACTTCTGGCCTCAGGCCTGACTTCTGTGTGATGTTTTTTTGGTCCCCAGAACCCCCTGCCGTGGTCTGTCTGCCCACTGAACAGTAACCACACAGGCTACGACGAGGAGTGTGAGGCGGCCTCCTCCACGCAGTACTTCTGGTACAGGAAAACACTCAACATCTCGCCGTCCATCGAGGAGAGCGGGGCTGTGCAGTGGGAGCCGGCGCTGTGCCTCATCCTGGCCTGGCTCGTGGTGTACCTGTGCATCCTGCGGGGCACCGAGTCCACCGGCAAGGTGGGACGGCAGGGCACGGAGGGCGGCGCTGCAGGTGGGCAAGGGAACAGCCCCCTCTGTCTCTGGCCCTGGCAGTGCCAAGGGGGTACCTTCTGTAGTTGGGGGCCAGAAGCTGTGCTGGGGCAGAGGGCTCGGACAGTGTTGCTGGCACAAATCACCTCCTAGGTGACCCTAATGATGGCCAGAGGTGCTTGAAGTTGCGACTCTCGATCCCGAAATGAGGGCTTTTTCACTAAAAATAAGAGCATTTCTGTACCAGCCACTTGCAAATCCATGGCAGCCAAGCAGCCAGACAGTGAGTTTCCCTTCTTTAAGCCTTTGAATGACTGCACGTGGCCCCACACCCTCCCCACCAGCTCTCACATTGCTCTTTAGTATTGCCTGGGGAGCTTTAAAAGAATCTCACACCTCAGTCCTGCCCCGAAAGTTCTGAAGGAACCAACCTGGGGTGTGAGCTGAGCACTGGGAGGGTAAAAGCTCACCAGGTGACCCTCACGTGCAGCTCAGTTTGAGACCTTTGCTCTAAGCTGCTTTCAAGGACACCGTGGAGCTCTCGGGCCCAAGGTTCATAACCCTTTTCTTCTCGGCGCATCCTCAGGTTCGTGTCCCCTCTTGGGCTGGTATGTTTCCTTAACTCTAGCCTGTCCATGTAGAAGGTTTGCTGTGAGTGTTCCCAGCGTCTGCCACCTGTCTGCAGCTTCAGCAGATGCCCGGCCACCCAGCGTGCCCTGTCTCCTACGGTCACATGACCTGGGCACCCCACACTGTCTCATTCCAGCAACAGCCCTTCATGGTAGATTTCATGATCCCACTCACCTGAGGCTAGACAGGTAAAGTGACCTGCTTAACGTCACAGTTAGTGAGGGAAGAACAGGGCAGAGCCCGGCTTCACCCCAAAGACTCAACAGTGTCTTGGTTTGGTGAGCCACCTCCTGTGTGCTCTCTCCACACTTTTTGTGACTTAATCAACCCCAGCTTTTCCCTGCCAAAAGTCCTAAGAATCTACCTGTCTTCACCCTCTTGGCTACCTGAGTTGCCACCATGTTTTTCTTGAGGCATTAGACCAGAAATACCCACGGTATTCCAGACACCAAGTGACAATCCCAGCATCAGGCCCTGCAGGACATCTTATTTTGGTTTCCCAGATCCCGTGAGGGTCAGCATCTTAGCCCCAAAAGCATCCCAAGCCATGGCTAAGCTAAGGGACGAGTAAACATGGGGACTCTTTCCTGGGACAGCTTAGAACCCACAGCAACTGACTGTCCCATCGTAGAGCTTAGCCGACACTTCCATGCTCATAAAAAATGCTTTCGTAATTTATCTTTGCCAGATTATTATGAGCATGATCCAAAGTATCTGAGGGCAACATCTGCAACCTTAGAGATTTAACGAGATAATTCCTTTTCCTGACCACTTACAAATGTGTTGCATGAGACCCTGTCATGCCATGAAAGCTTACTTATTCTCACTGTTCTTACCGTCTATTTCCTCGGCTTTAGCAGCTTCTCTAGAAGTGCCCCAACAGCTCTGTTACAGGGGATTAATCTCGTTAGGGGCTATATGCCATTTCCTGGCCTCCTCTGTTGCAATCTCCTTTCTTTCCACCCAGAATTTCTGTGGAGTGTCAGAAATGGTTTCTTGCAGTAGGTTAGCCTGGATCACGTGTCCAGCAATCCTGTCTACTTGACTGGGGAGAAGCAAGGCACCCCGGCAGGGATTGCAGAGAGCTTCTGGGAAGCTTGCTTACCTGGGGAAAGGAGGGAATTCCAGGAACTTGCCCTAAGTGCCTGCTAAGTGCCCACTGTTATGCACAGTGGCCGCCCCTCCTCCCCTTGGCCCTTGCCCCTTCAGATCACAGGCCAGGTGCCCTATCTTTTTAGTTATCCATCTCCATCTTGTACCTGGTTGGTTTCCTTATAATCATGGGTGAATTTATTACTCTTCTCAAGTTACAACACCTCAGCTAAGAAGCAATGATAAAAGACACACCTCACATTCTGCCTGCCGTCCCCAGGGTGAGAGGGCACAGAGTGCCACTGTGGTGGCCTTGGAAATTCAAGGGAAGGTGTGGCCATGCCTCAGCAGGCATGGAGGGCCCAGGTAATTCAAGCCTTTCTGGACACGGGTCACCAGCTGTGTTTGTCACAGGAGAACACAAACGTTAAGGGAACGTGCACAGAGAGCAATCTTGCAAAATATTTCTTTGCTTTACATATGAGAAAATTCCAGTCCTGGGTGGGCATACATGCACATGAAGGCCTCTCTTCTAAGGCTTTGTAAAAGTTAAAATTACCCAGAGCCTGGCAGTCTACTGCCAAAGCTACCATGAAAACCGAAGATAAAACATCATTGAACTTGTGGTGCATGTCAGCGGGGAAAGATTTGGCTGACAAAAAAGTCGCTTGTTTGCAAGTATTTGTGCTTCCTGCTTTGCTTAGGCCACTAGGAAGCTCAAAAACAGGGTAGAAACTCATGCCCTATTCTGTGGGCTACCGTTTTCTTTGGGCTCTGGATTGCCCATATTTTCTCTTCAGACTGATTTCTTTATCTAACAATTTAAAATGTTAATGTGACTGATACATTTTTGTGGGCATCCTCAAATTCTTTCTGGAATACGTTGAGTGAAAGGGAGGGTGAAGGCAGAGCCTTGGGACCTGCCTGCCTCTTCTCTACTGAACAAGAGACCTCCTGGTGGTCACGGATGTGGGCGCCCACATCCCACAGCGGTTTCTCCAGCGCCAGCTCAGAGCCTGTGTCGACCCAAGAATCCCACTGCCTTCTCCAGCTGCTGGCCGCTGGGTGGTGCAGCCTGAATAGCCCAGGCATAGGAGTGTTCCTGTCCTGCGGCCCGACCGCTCCAGGAGGCTGACGCTGCCCTCTGGCGCCCCCAGGTGGTGTATTTCACCGCGTTGCTGCCCTACTGCGTGCTCATCATCTACCTGGGCCGGGGCCTCACGCTCCACGGAGCCACCAATGGCCTGATATACATGTTCACTCCCAAGGTAGGAGCCGGGGGGTAGGGGCCTTAAAGGCGCCCCTCCCTCATCCTGCCACCTTTCGGGATGGGATGGGATGAGGGGAAGGCAGAGAGTGGGCAGGGAGGCTGGTGTGAGCCCATCAGGCTGTGGCGAGGGCTGTGGGTTACCCCTGGGCCCTAGATCACCCCCTCAGCCAGGCAGGCCCCACACCCCGCTGATTATGGGGCATGAAGTCTTTCTTCCAGCCCCTGCTCCCCATCCTCGCTGCCCCGAACTGACTGCTGCCCCAGCCTCACCCCAGGCCCCTTCCAGACTGTAGACCGAGCTCTTTGCCCTGAGCAGCGCTCTGGCCATCTCGCCGCCTGCCCCCCGCCGCCACGCAGCCCTTTCCCTGCAGGGTTTTCCACGCGCCTTGCCTGACCATCCCACCTCCCCGCCTCCGCTCTGGGGGCGCCCCTCGGCCAGTGCTCCTTGGCGGGGACGCTGCGCCTTTGCTGTGGGGCACGCTGCCACGCCACTTCCACCTCTGAATGCCCAGACCCGTGCCACGCCCGCCTTATGAATTAGGGGCTCGATGCCATTTTGAACTATTCTGCCCTACACTGTTCGATTGCTCAGCTCTGACGGGCGAGGTGCGGTGGAGGAGGTGAGGTGAGGCGGCCTGTGTTTCCCTGCTGGGCCCAGCCTGGCCCGCCGCTCACGGCTGGGCGCTGTGGCAAGTTCCTCCCCTCTCTGGGCCGCCCTCCCTTATCGGATTCCCGCCCAGGTTCCTCAGCCCTGTCCCTGCCGGTTCCAGGTGGAGCAGCTGGCCAACCCCAAGGCCTGGATCAGCGCGGCCACCCAGATCTTCTTCTCGCTCGGCCTGGGCTTCGGCAGCCTCATCGCCTTCGCCAGCTACAACGAGCCCTCCAACAACTGCCAGAAGCACGCTGTCATTGTGTCCCTCATCAACAGCTCCAGCTCCATATTTGCCAGCGTCGTGACCTTCTCCATCTACGGCTTCAAGGCCACCTTCAACTATGAAAGCTGCTTGAACAAGTAAGCCTGGGCTGCCCCGCCCAGTCCCGGGCTCCCGGAGCTCTGAGCTGAAGGGGCACCGGAGAAGAGGTGGGTGCCAAGAAGGCAAGGCCCGGGCCAAGGGTACCAGTTTTGGATCCCCCGGTCCAGGGCTCAGACTCGGGCTCCCCGACAACCTCCAGCAGCTGCGGGGCCCAGAGCACGCCAGCGTCTGCCTGGCAGGGAGGAGGGCGCTCTCACTGTTGAAAGCACTCCGATGACGGGGCCTTAGTTTCTTTTGCCCCATCTCCCCTACCTCAAAAGTGACCAAGAGCTCTCTAGCCCAGCCAGAGTGATTACAGAATTCACTTTCTGTGGCCCCTTACCCAGAATACAAACATCATCCAGGAGATATGCTGTCCAATTCAGTGGTCACTAAGCTGCAAGTGGCTATTTACAAATTTGAATTTAAATTAATGTAACTTAATTTACATTTAAATAACTTAATTTATCTTTAAATAAATATACATTTTACTTCAAGTCAGTTCCTCAGTGGCACTAGCCACATTCAAGTGCTTAGTTGCCACACGTGGCCGGCCAGTGGTCCAGATGTCCCATTTCCATCATCACAGAAAGTTCTGTTGGACTATGCCGGTGCAGAGGTTAAAACAGCCCAGCTGCGTTTGGTTCTTGTTGTCATCACTGTTCCTATCTCAGGCATCTTCAAAACCATTCGAAACGACACTGTCCTTCAAAAAGGTTTCCAGGCAACAGATTCCCTTTCCGGATGTAATCAGGAAAGGAGAAGCTGGCGGGAGGCTTCGGTGACGGGAGCCTTTCTGATCAGCGAGGGTTGATCTGACGGTCTGCTCTGCAGGGTGATTCTGCTGCTGACCAATTCTTTTGATCTTGAAGATGGCTTTTTGACAGCCAGCAACCTGGAGCAGGTGAAGGACCACCTAGCATCTGCCTACCCAAGCAAATACAGTGAGGTGTTCCCATACATTAAAAACTGCAGCTTGGAATCGGAGCTAGACACGGTAAGGCGCCCTGGCAAAGTCGTGGGCTTGCTTCTCTCCGCGCACTCGTAGGGACCTTGGAGAGCTGCCCACTTGTGCGATGCGCACGGCCCATAAACATCCAGGAAGGTGTATTCTCCCTGTGCCTCTGAGAAGAGCGACTTCACCACCACTCTCCCCAGGTGCTGCTTGGGAGTCCTAGTTATTATAAAGTTCCTTTAGGTTCTCTGTGTCCTTTCTTGCTTTTCCTTTTCTCTTTTTAAGCTGTAAAAATACAGGAAAGTACAGAGAATAAATATAACAAATACCCATATATCTACCACTCAGAATGAACAATTATAAACATTTTGTCATTTTGAGTTCAGATTTTTTTTATGTAAAAGCAAAGAACATTTCAGGGACAAAGTTTAAGTTCCCTTTATTACTGGCCCCAAGTTTTCCCTACTCACCAGAGGCATTTTTACATTTTTCTTACCCATATATGTATTCTCAAATAATATCATCGTTTTGTTGGCAGTATTTAAATGGACATAAGTGGTCCTGGATGATATTTTTCTCATTTAACATTTTGAAATCTATCCCTAATAATGCATGTGAAATCCCATTCATTCATTTTAAGTGCTGCATTTTATTCTATCACACAAATATACCACAATTTATTTATCCATTTCCTTACAAATAGAAATTTGCTACTAAAATCATCCTTATCTATATATTACATAATTATCTCTGCTATACTGGGACCTTTATTTTTTCACATTAATTTTAGAATCAGTTTGACAAGTGTCATTGGGGAAAAAATCTTCTAGAGAATTTTTATTAGACTTGCATTGATTTTATAGCATAATTTGGGAAGAATTAAAATCTTTTGAGTTGTGACTTTTGATTCAGTAATGTGCTTTCTCTCATTCACTCAGGTCTTTTTTTATATTCTTCAACTAATTTTCTCCACGAATATCTTGGCACATTTTTTATTAGATTTATATTAATTTATTTTTTTTTGCTATTGTAAATTATGTCTTTTTCCCCCTCATTTCTATCATTGTTTATTTTTGTTGCAAAAACAAGCTAACAGTTTTGTATGTTGATTTTGTATCTAGCAACCTTGAAAAATTCTCCTATTAATTCTCATTTTTGTCTATACATTTGCTTCGGTTTTCTATGAAAGCTATCATATCACCTGCAGATAGAATTTTGTATTTTTCTTTTCAATACTTATATCTTCTTTTTTCTTACTGTATTTACTAGGACTTCTAGCACATGGAGGTGGAAATGATAGGGTGTAT